TTGCACTTTTCCGAACCATTAGCTGGTAAAAGCTTTTTCTTTTCATGCCCCCCCCCCCCACCTCCTCATAACTTTACTTCAAGTTTTTGAGAAGAGACAGATCAAATGGTATTTCTGCATTGACAATACCACTACCTGGCTTGTCCTTCCTGGGAGCAATATACATTGTGACTGTTTCTGCTAGAACTCATCTTAGTCTCTCAGTTTTTGCAACTTGCCCGGCTACTATACTTCCTCCTCTCGTTTCCCACTACCACATTCACTTCCCACTATGTTTATAGAACCGTATCAGCTTCTGATACAGAACTACTGTGTGTGTGTGCGTGTGTGTGTGTGTGCGTGTGTGTGCGTGCGTGCGTGTGTGTGTCAACATACGCTATGTTGTCCTGAACAGTGTAATATTCACAAGTATTTATGGTAAAAGCTATCCTGGATGCATCAAAAACTCCCTAAATCAAAAAAGTTCTGACCCTACCATATCCTAGGGACTTTAAAGACAGTCACAAAAGCAAATACTGAAAAGTTTCGTGTTCAGCTATGTTATTTTTACTGAGAAAGAGAAGGACATGAATAAGATGCACAACTTCATCTTGTGTATACTTTACTTCAATTGAGTGCAACACAATGAAGAATAATTTGCTTTTAGGAGGAAACAATTGCCACTGTTTATAGCCACTTTAAAAGAAAAAGTGGTTTACAAATCCCTTACAAACTTACCAAAGTAAACTGCTTTAAGACGCCTATGCTTAGTCATTATGACAGCATAGATCAATCTTTTTATTACTATTTTCCAGCTATTCAAGTCTCACCTTGCCCTAAGTCTCTTAAAACACCCTTGCATTAAATCACCTCTCCCAGCCCACCTCCTGCCAACATCTGGTTTATTATAGCAAAATAAAAAGGTAAACCAAAATAGTTATTTTTCTGGACAATATAGCTTTTATAAGGGATGGATCCTCACAGACAGGAGTGCCTATATCATTTAGGACATATACTTTCTGCAACTATTTAACTTACTTCAAGCCCAATACATGCTGGATGTGGCTCTCCTGATGAACTGAACTCCCAGTCCAGAATTTTATCACAGGAGAGCTAACTGGCATTTTCTGCAGTAGGCTTTCTAATAGAAAAAAACCCAGCTCTTCCTATAATACACATTGCTTGTGGGATGTTTTAATATGAGCCTTTTTGTGCTCACTATGTATTCTTGATGTCAAACCTCTTCACTAGAAATGTACATATCGCTATATATAAAGCACAGCAGAATCTCATGCCCCAAGATACGAGGGTCATTTGCCCAACATACTGTTTTGTCTGTGTTATTTCAAGAAAACAAAGAAGAAGAAAAGCCACGATGGACAATTTTACCTGTATGCGTTCTTAAATGTTTCTTTAACTGAGCTGCATCCATGAATTTGCGACGACACTGGTTACATTCCGGCAATGAATGGCCTTGTCGCAATAATAAAAAAAGTGTCAGTGCATAAGTGATCCCCTGTATCTCTTCAGTGATCTTTGTTAAAGCACTTTCCTGTAAAATAACCACTTTGATATAATATAGAAAGAAAAAGGTGATTCACTGTCTCTTCCCTATCTTTACAGTCAGTAAACTAGCAGAATTACTCAACCCCATTTCCCTATTTAATCTTTTTAAGGGAAGAGAGAGTACTGGCTCCTGTTCACCCCCAAACCCACCTGCTTTTGAAGCTTTGTAAATTCTTAATTTTTCCACTATTTCCTTTGTGTATAATCTAACCTCCATCTTTCTAGAACAGAAGCGGAGCAGGACATTTCTTACAGCTTGTTTGCTATTGCTAGTCCAAAGTAGTGGAAAATTACAATAGGCAATTTGCACAATAGGTAGCGGACACAGTTGATATATACAGTTCCTAGCTGGTATGCAAAACATAGAGCAGGACTAAAATAATCAAGTTGTTTTTCAAGTACAGTGCAATCAATATGTCATCATCAGATAAGTCCTTTTCAATCAGCTATCTTTCTAAACATTCTTTATTTTATTTTTCTTTAAACATTGTTTAGTGTTTTTCCCCCCACTGTTCATTGTTACATCAATATATTGCACGTCAGGGTAACAGAGTCCTACAAGTGTATCACTGAAGAACATCCACAGTCTTAGCCAATCTTTACAAAGACAAATCAACATGGATGATCAGCCAGCTCTACAACTCAAACTTGCTATACCTGTGTGTACTCGATAATGACTCTTGAGCTGTCTCTTTTGGCTGAAGTATTTCCCGCACTGATCACATGTAAAAGCCTTCTGCCCTGTAAAGAAGATCACTTATTAAAATACAAGCCACATCCAAAGTGAGCACAAAAATCAGCACACATGAGAAAGAGAGCATTAATACTTCTCTTCAGAAAGGCAAACGGTTAGGGTAGAGAGGTTACATTTGCACTGCAATATTTACCTGTATGTAGGCTCATATGCTCCAGAAGAGAATGTTTTGTTGTTAGAGCCTTACTGCAGACTGTGCACGTGTATGGCCGTTCTCCAGTGTGCATCCGCTCATGAACTTGAAGAGAGTGCTTTTGGGAAAAGCCTTTGCCACATTCACTGCACTTAAAAGGGCGCTCCCCTAAAAGCAAAAGATTTACAAGTGTTAAGTATCGATGCATCGTGTCTCAGTAGCTACTCTAAGCCGATAGTGAGAAACATGGCAATGCATTACATACTAAAAATTGACCTTTGAGTAGTGATAAGGAGAATTAAAAGAAAGAGACAAGCTTCGTGCAGCAATAAAATAATTATTTAAGTAACATCATATAATTCAATGTTTTAGTAGAGAAATGCTAAACTAAACTGCAATCAAGGTAAGACACAGAAAGGCTAGGAGACCTGGTAGCAAGAAGAAAACAGTGAACACGGTCTCAGAGACCCACCATAGCTAATTTGCTTCCAGCAAGAATTGTCCAAGATGGCATGCTGATCCAATAGCCACACTAAAACAAGTGACTTGCATTTAGCAGTAAGTCACTAAATCCTAACACAAAAGAAGTAGTCTCGCAATGCCCACCTGTATGACTTCTTTGATGAATAGCTAAAAAGTGATTATATTTAAATACTTTGCCACAGTCTTTACAGCGAGCTTCAGACTCTGCACGTTTTTTTTTCCCATCATTTCTCTTTGCCAGTCCTTTTTCTTCCTCATCACCGAGAAGTTTATAATCTTTTAGTTTGATTGATCTCTTTATTCTGCGTTTGCTGTAACGGCTCTGCGTGCTCTGTATTCCTTGAGATTTGGGATCATAATTCTCATCTTTCTCAGCTGACAGATCCACAGCAGCTTCTGAGCCACAAGCACGCTCAGTTTCTTCAGCATCTTTCCTCATGGGAACCTGCTCACTGACAACTGTTTCTTCTGCTGCAAGGTCTTTTTTCATAAAATTTTGTTTATTTTGCATAGAATTATTCTCTCTCAGCTGCACATCTTCAGCAGAATTTGCTCCTGGTTTTTCTTCTTGGGCATTCTTGACCTTCCTTGGTCGTCCTCGTTTCCGCTTTGGCGGATCTCCATTTTTCATGTCATTTTCAGCAATAGCTACCGAAGCTCCACTGTTAGATGGAGCAGGTAATGCATTGCTTGGGCTGTGGCTGGCCTGATAGTCTGCGTAGGCCCATACCAAGTCGTTCACTTTTAGAAGCTGTGCAGTAGCTAGAATTTGTTCTGTGCTTTTTTCACTGGCATGGAGATAACCAGTGTAGATAAATTCTAGCAGTGCTCCAAAAGCGTCTGCAACCATTCCCTCCAACATGTAAATTGACTGCCCTATTTCACCCTCATCTACAAACATCATCGAGAAGTATTCACTGCTGGCAGCAAGCAAAGCTTTATGGGCTCTGAACTGAACATTCTCCACTATCAGAGTAATGTCACAAAGAAAATCTTTCTTCCTTTGTTCTTCAAAATTAGCTAGAATGGTATCTCTGTGAGCTTTGGAGTGAATGACGACCAGTTTCTCAGATGCATCGGGAGCGGTTTCAGCCATTTTTATCGCAAATATGAAAGAAGGTACCTACAAGAACAGAATAGCTTTAATAAATATTTCAGAAGTTTGCATTATAAAACACCAAGTATTATTTCCTTTACAAGCTAATAGCAGTATAACAGTTTCTGAAGCAATTCTGAAGCCTCCGAACTTTCTTTAAAAAGTCAACGTTAATGCTAACATAGATTATCTTCTCCAAAAAGTGTTTTTACATCTTAAGCTACGGCTATGGACAATTTCTTCTCACGTCAGAATTACTGCCAGTATTTCATTTGCTGTGCTCTGCTGTACTGTTAAAACTCCTTCTTCTGCAAGCAAAACAACTGAACAAAAAGAACTCTTTGTTCACAACTCCTCTTTTCCACTCTTTTAAGTGGAAATAAATAAAAAAGAATCAATTGCAGCTTCACCAACACAGGGTGCCACATTTCAGACTATTCAGGGACAAGGCTATGAAATCCTGGAATCACTGACAAAAAAAAAAAAAAAACACTGATTTTGGTGTTGCAGGATTCCATGCCCTATTTATCCGCTTCTATCCTTCTGAAAACGTCTTTCAGAACACTTACCTGCTAATTCTCAGACTATAGATATGGGCAATAAAACTGGAAAAATAGCAGATCTAAGAGCTCCGTCTAAAATAGGGTTGACTACGCTAGTTAACAAGCATCAGTTTGGCTTGCTAAAGTTCCTTTATTTCAAATTCAGTCACAAGAATTAGCAGAAGAGAGAAATCAGTAATTTCAAAAGAATCCACCAAATAAAAATACCATGGAAGAGACATGCCAAAAGCATCTGTTTCAAGTGGATCAGCTACCTGCCATCCTAAATGATAAAACTATCACGTTAAATATGTGTTTAGTTACAGCAGTCGGGGGAGTACAACAGTTCTGACTATATGAAGCAACACTTTAAGAAACAGTGCACGCTACACATAGATGATGCCTAAATGCTACTGAGGTGGCCAAGAAGTAAGTCATTCTTTAGACCTTTGCAGCTGCTAAACAGTTCATGTTGGAGTTGCTTGACTAACAGTAGAGTCATGCTGCTCTGTGACCTTTAGTTGTTGGAGGCTGTGAGCCTGCTGCTGCTGGAACACCCTAAAACACTGCTGTCGGCCTGACCTAGTGGCACAAGCAATTCGGCACACTCCCCAAGAGATGCTGTCAACTCCACCTGAAAGCGTTTCCTAAGATTTACACGTCTCTCAACACCGAGAGACACAGTACCTGTTTGGTGGGTTTTGATCACACAAAGGATTCTGGTGTTCAATCAGACGACGGCATCATTAAGGTCTGGACCACAAAATCCAAAGCAGCGTGCTTACCTAAAAGACAATCTACAATAAGGCTGTGCCCAACGGGAAGGTGCCCGCACTGCCCCGAGCACGGTCAGGCACTCCCCAGGCCATCTGACGGACTGTGCTGAATGACTAACGACCCCACGCACCAAGCGTTTTGGGCCGTTAACCCAGAGCAACAGCGCGCAGCTCAGCACTAGCTCCAGGCACAAGCAACGACGGCGAACGCGGCGCGGCGCGGGGAGAGGAGCG